AAGCCCCTATTTATTCCTTCTTTTGTTAACACTGAGCATCTGCAGCTTTGTGGTGTTTGGAAGGAATCCTGCAGAGATAGCAAAAGATAGTGTGCACCAAAAAGTCTCGATAGAATTCTTCTGCCAGCAACTGTGTGATCTTTCTGCCCATGTGCCACAGAGGATCACCTAGCAGAAGGTTTTCCAAGTGTGTAACTCTGGAGTGAAGCTGTGCTTCTACCACAGTAGTCACATGCCATGTAACCACCCATGTGTCAGTAAAACACAATGAGACATTGATGGAAAAGCTATAGGTCTCTTCCCCCCCCTCCCCTCCCTTCCCTTTTGATCATTAAAATAATCATTAAAATAATTTTACTGTTCAGTAAACAGGAACAGTCCCTATAGTCCATTTAGTAGGCTGAACTTATTAAAAATTTGATTTCAATAAACATGGGGCATGCATGTGCACAGTTATGTGTGTCTAAACTCTACTTATTTCTGTAAAAGTAGAGCTGAAAACATCCTTGGGAAGAAAGTTCTTAATTCTTTTTTGTTTTAAGTGGACAGTTCTTTCAGCACCTGTGTAAACAGAAATGGTTTATATTTGGGGGATTGTGCTTTACACATGCACAGGGTTTATCCTGATCTTCAAAGCGTCTCTTGTCACTATTGTAACGCTTTTGATCTGGACAAAGCAGTTTTCATAGCTGAAAAAGGATGATATAAAACACAGTAGCTGAAACTGTTCCATGAAAAGGATTGGCAAGCCTCATCAGTTAAAACTAGTTAATGAGCAGCTCCTAGGGAACACTTTCCTCCCAAGAGCACCAGGCAAAACTCGGACAGCAAGGACTTCTGTGATTAATTGCATATTTGTGTGTGCATCCACACTGACTTTCACTGCCCACAACGTGAAAGAGATGTTTTCTAATTGTGAACAAAACACTTCTTAGATCTTTTGATATTGGGGTGTTGTTTTGAACATAAAAAGAGTAAATTTTAATATGTTTGAACATAATAAAGAATAAACTTCCATTCACTGCATCTGGAAAATATCCAGATTATCCATCTGCAAGGAAAAGGACTTCTGTATTAATTTTTCCATATTTTCATACATTTTGCTGGAAGACAGCTTTTCAGTGAGATTTTTCACTGAACTATTCCCAGGTAAGTAGTTGAATCTGTATACCAAATACAGTTTGCTAAAGAAATGTATTCTCTGGACACTTTTTGTTCTACTTATAGAAGGAGCATATTTTACTGCATAATTCTGTTGGAGTGATTTCTAATTAGCAAGCTTTCAAATTATTTTTCTTTTCCTTAAGAGGTCAACACCTGCTTGCTTTCAGCTCTGAATTCATCTCATTTGGTTTTTTATGTCATCTTTAGGATGTGTACGCTTCTTTTTTCTGCATTTTCAAGCACGGGTCTTCAACGTTTCTTTTTCTGGATTTCTTTCCAGGGTGATACTTCAGGAGACTACCGGAAAATCCTACTCAAGTTGTGTGGTGGAAATGACTAAATGGAGCATTGGGCTTTGTTAAAAAAAGCTGCTATTTTCACAGTTTTGCTTTAAAGCATCATTTTTTTCCTCCAAAAGTAAATATGTAATGACCTGTTTCTCTTAAAGCAATTACATTTTAAAAGACAATATTGCATATATCTTTTCTTCAGTTAAAAAATAGTAGGTAATAAATGCCAAAAAAAAATCAAGCTTGCTGCCAACTGCTCAGGATTCTGTATAGTATTTTCAGCAATCCATGCATGACAGGTCATTATTTCTTTTCTGCTTGTATTATGCTGAAATATGTTTGTTGTATGGAACAAAAATCACAGTTGTATGATTTAAGGTTTTATGTTGTATAAACATTGTGCAGCATTTTAAAGGAAGTTTTATATATATTCCAGGCAGACTTTGTTTCATGCTAGTCTACTCCCTGATACATGGAGAGAAGAGCCTTGAGTTTTTTTCTCTAGTTGAGACTGTTTTAAAGAAGTTTTGTGAGTTGTTTTCTTTCCTTGATCATGTTTAAGGAAGATATGTTCTACATTTCATTCTCACTAGGGCAGCTGTCACAAGGCAGCAGTGATGTTGACAGGAGTAAAGATCCTATGGTTAATGTTTCAAGGTTTTGGACTCTGCCTTAAATATATATATGTAAAAAGAGATGATGAAATTAAAGCTGTCTATCTTCTACCTCTTTGCAAACAATGCTTTTTGGTGTTTGTGTTGATTTACATGCAAGTGATGAGTCAGTTTATGTAACTTAGTTATCCATAGAAGTTCTCTGCTTGAATCTACAGAATTATTCAAAAATCGTGTTGGCATGAGTTTGGGACTGGTATGCTGTTGATGAGCAATTGTCTGTACGCCCTGTATGTAATTTGAAAACACTGAGCAATAACTATATTTTGCATATTGTAATTTATCTTCTCTGACTCTTGGAACTCTGAGGTTTTATCCTCTCTTAGTGTGGATGACATTTCTTCAGCCTTTCATTCTCAAAATAGAAACATGTAAAGGAAAGAAAAAGTACAAGAGGGGAAGAGGTTTGGAGCTACGTCAGTGAAAATAGACTCCTTGTTAGTCAAGAATGTCCAAACTCCTTCTCTTATTTCACACACGCATGCTTGCACTCTAATCCGCAGAAGTCAGGCAGGTCCTTCTTCCTAGAAGTTGTGAGTGTTGCTGTTTGTTGTGGAAGAAAAATGGGGATGTCATAGGGGTGGAAGTTGGAATTAATTCTGCGTCGCATTGTCACTATGGCAAGGGAGAAGAGTGTAAAGATTACTCCAGAATAAGGTGGTTGCGGGTCCAAATGACAAATTCTGATGATGCGCACATGGGACTTCCATTTCGGTCAATGGCCACAATGTGATGATGTCTAAAGCCAGACTGCTCCATACACTCATTTTTGTCAGACAATCTAAGCATATCTTGAGAGGAATTGCAGCTGAAAGTGTATCTTCCTTGATTTACAGTGACAACAAAAGCTCACTTCTTTTCCAGGGAAAGAACTGTTGAATTGAGGAAAGTTTGTTAGCTGGGCTTTAGTCTTGTACCCCATCTGATCTTGTTTTCTTACTGAGAGTGCTGTGTTTGAAATGCTATTTTGATAAAGGAGGGCTGCTGAGAGATTTAAAATACAAGGCTTTGAAATAGTGCCTAAAGGCAAATATCTGTTTATTATAAAGCACAGGAATACAGAAGGCAAAACTACAGCTGAGGATTGTTCATCCCTGCTAAAATTCTGGAAACATGAGCTTATTAAATCAACAAAAAATGCAACTATTTGACAACGGTACTGTTACATTCAGCTGTCTTCTGTCTTCGTAGTGCTCAGCTGTTAATCTGTATGGAGAAGAGTTGCTGTAATAAGTTTTGGTTATAAGATCAGGATCAATCTTTGTGGATAAACGTTGTTTGAAACATGAATCCTGCTACTTTAAAGTGGGGAGTTGTCACTTGGATTCACTGTATCACAGAATGTTGTTACAAGCTCCATCCCAGTAGTACTTACTATGGATGTGCTGCAAATATGCTGAGGTTGACTTAGGATTTCGATTTTAAATTCATTGTAACACTTTACTGGAATACTTTTAAAATATCGTTTCAGGGGAGTAACTTAACTGTTACCTATTAACTGGCCCTCAAAGAAAACTGGAAATTTTAATGGATTATAAAGTTGGTGAGGACATAATCAGTCTTGGTGACCAGACCAACTGTAAGAACTAAAAACCAATATAAATTCTACTGCTGTGTGTGCTTCAGGCCCACCTTCAGTCCTTAAGTGCACTATAGGCTGCATGTGTGTGCATGCATCCATGTAAATAAGCAAACAAAAAAACCAACACAGGCAAAACTGACTTCGTAAGCATGTCTCTGAGTGCTCATACCTTTCCACAAGAGATTTATTTTCCATCGGGAGTGTCTCTCACCTTGTTAAATGCACTGTGGGTATTAGGGCCGGGAATGAAGGGGGCAAAGCATTGTAAGAAGATGTGTAGTCTACATGGTCTTTTCCAAGTAATTTCTGTTATGGTTTAATTTATTCCAAAAACGTTTATCCAGGAGCATCTTCTGTATAAGGAACTTGTGTGTCAAAACTGTGTTTAAGATATGAAAGTGGTAATATTTCCAGTAATTTCTTTTGTATGTTGTTGCCCTCCTTTGTTTCGTCACACATGAAACTAAAGAATCACAGGATCTTAAAACTGAAAGAGACCTTGAGTTTGCTTAGTTTACTCTGCTTTTCTCAGGTATGATGCTTGTTAAACATTTCCAGTGCTGGGGAAAGTATAGTTCTGTCATTTCAGGGGTTTGCTGTCACAGAATCACAGAATCATTATGGTTGGAAAGGACCTCCAGGGTCATCAAGTCCAACCTTTTTCCCAGCATTTCTCTAACCACTACACCATATCCTCAAGCGCCACATCTATTCGTTCTTTAAACACCTCCAGCGATGGTGACCACCACCTCCCTGGGCAGCCTGTTCCAGTGCCTCACTGCCCTCTCAGTGAAGAATTTCTTCCTAATACCTAATCTAAACCTCCCCTGGTGCAACTTGAGGCCATTCCCCCTCATCCTACCATTACTAATTTGAGAGAAGAGTCCTTTTAAGAAACCTTGCGATGTATTTTGTTTGGCTCTTTCTTGCTGCATTTGTTCTTGTTTTATTTGCTTTTGGAATGGGCAACAAAACTTTCCATCTTTGTGGCAGCCTTACTCATTCTGGCAGGCTACTTATATTCTTTACGCTAAACATCCCCAGTTTAACAACCTTTCAGTGTAGCTCATGTATCTAGCTCCTTGGCTGAGTTTTTGTTTGTTTGGTGGGGTTTTTTTCCCCTTTTTCTCCCTCCCCCCCAGCCCCTTTAATAGTTGCTGAAACCTGGTGTTCGATACTGGTCAGCTGAGGCCTTAGCTGCACTCAGTTGAATGAAGGAATTACCTCACAAAAGATGACATATTCGGTAATAACATATGCAACACTATTTTCAACTTAGGTTATATCCCACTAGATATACTTACCATCAAAAATGTCTATAAGTGGTGTTCCTGGAGTAATGGGGATATTTGATGTTGTTTCACTGATAATGTTGAGGAGCGATTTGATTTCCGATTCTAGATGCTCCACTGTTTTTACCACCTTCTAATGAAAACAAGGGAAATCAACAGAGAAGTGGAATAGTCAAAGGGTCAAGTGGAAGGAATTGTACCAAATGTTTTAGCAGAAGTACAAATCTAATGTCACATAATGCTAAGAGCTAATTTAATTTATTGCGCAGTGCAGATTTAAATATTTCTTGTGCTATGCTGGCCTCTAGTGGCATGAAGTATTAAAACTTTCTTTTGCAAGAGTTAAATTACAGCACCTCTGTATGAAGTATCACCTGTAATTTGACTTCTTGGAGGGAGGTCTGCATTAATTTGTTTTTAATTCTCTCTCATTTCTGAACCACCGTCATATCCAAGAAAAGAATCTGCACGGAAGATGAGAGGAGATGACGGAGTGGAAAGAAGAGGGCTGGGACTAGAGCAGGAGAGAAGTAACATTGCCATTTGAGAACCAACTGGGTAACATGCAGTTTTGCCGCTATCCAGCTGGGGATAGTTACCACTGGACACATATCTTCTGAGCGCTTAAGACACCAGGGAAAAATTTAAAACTTCTGCAGCTTTCCTAGAACCCCAGTTCATTTAGCTCCTGAGTGTCTGCAGGAGTGAGCAGAAACTCCTGCCAGTCTTGGAGTCACCTGCAGAATTCCCATCTAGCCCTGAGCAGATGTGAAACTTTACAAGTATCAGTTCTGAGATTGTTATATTAAAGACACAGTTATAAACATTTTAGAAAAGGCTGATCTGTACTAGTGATTTGTTAGTCAGTTCTTTGGAATTCATCTAGATTATACGTTTTTGGTATTACTGGCTTTATGGATAGTTACAGTTAGCATCTGGAAACAAAAATAGTCAGACCTTGAATCGAATAAAATCAAGAAAGGACAGTGTCTAGAAACATTATTCTTGTTTTTTTTTTCTTTGGTCAAAAGGATGGGGCACAGGTCTGGTAAGGTCCAGGAGCCAGCACAGTAGCTCTTACCTCTTCAATCATATCTAAGCGTCCATGGATTGTGTCGTGCTCATTACACCAGCTTCCTCCTTCCAAACTTCCAGGTAACATACTGACAGGGTCGGCAGCAGCTGGAAGAACAGTTAACACACTCAATTAGCAGCAGCTTTTTAGTAGCAGTCCTTACCATGATACTTTGCACAGTGAGCAGTGTTTACAAAAATTCCTGTAGGAGTCGCCGGTAGAAACTGAAACTGTCTCTCAGTAACTACAGCTGTACCCTAGTGCTGTGAACGTCTCCTTGCCTGTACACATTGGCATGGTTGGTGAGAACAAGGTGTTTTCTCTTGCCAAAGGTATTGTTTCGTTTCTCTGTGTGTGTTTTACATAATATGTTCTTTCCTGAGTAAATTTATAGACTGTAACTGTCTCTACAAGTATAAAACCTAAGCATTGGTTAGATGTGCCTTACACATCAGTTCCTGTTGAACTTTCTTGAGAAGGAGCTGGTACAGTAAAGCCTTGAAGAGTAGCCAAGTTTGTACATGTCTGCCCTGAATGGGTACAAGCTGGTGATTCCCCTGTGCAAAAAAACTTGTCCATATCAGTCTGATTTTGAAATGGGGAGGGAAACCATAAATGTGTGTGCAGCTGATGCAGTTTGCTGACCAAATCACTTGTATGTATATGGTGCTATATAGAAAGTCACTGATCTCTGTCAGTTGTCTGTGTTTACCTCTGAATACTCATGAGCTCTTGCTCTTTGAACATTTCACTCTGCTGACTATACTGCATGAAAGGGCAGCACTTGCTGGTGTCCATGCTTTAACTGAGCCAATTTTAATAGCTTTTGTGCAACATTCAGTAACATTTAGCTTTTAATATGTGTGGAGCATTTTAAACCTCACTGAAGTGATCACATATCTAGCTCCATGTTAAGTTAGGTCTTTTTCCTGTTTGAGATCTGTTGAGATTGTTGAGAGGCAGCTATGATAATGAGAAAGCAGCTGTAGCTCATTCTCTTGGTCTTTGTAAGAGACAAAGGAGACTGAGCTTGTATAATAATGACCAGCAAGAAACATAAGAAGGGCAACTATTTCTGTCTTCAGTACTGCTATGCAAGAGCAATGAATTGGAACTGCTGCAGTGCTTCATCACAACTCTGCCAAATTTTCTGCAGTCTAAGTATCAGGTGCTGGCAAACCCATGTCAGCAAGGATTGTAGCCATTGCAGTTTGATGGGATGAGAGATGTAATCTGAGTTGGAATAATATCCTTGAAACTGGACGATGGGGAGGAGGACAGGATTAAAATGGGATCTGATGTGCTAGGCATTATTTAAAAACTGGTTTGGCTAGAGCTAAAGAGGGAGAAGTTTTGGTTATCTGCAACAAGATTTTGATTAGGATTTTTTTTGAGTATTCACCGGGAGGTGGTGCTGTTGGGACAGAAGCCCAAAGAATTGCCTGTTTACAGAAGACTGATGAAATATGGCAGGTACTTTAACTGCTTTCTAGTTGGCTTTTTTTCCCTCAGTGTACCTGCTGGTGGTGTTTTGGGACTGCTGTTATGTAACTTAGTGGTCAAGCGAACCATGATACTTCTCAAAATTTTTTGCTTATTTACATGTTCTTTCCATCATGGCTGATACAACATGGAGATCCTGAAATTCTGTGTCAGTAATGGTGGTTACAAAGCAGTGGCCAGTCTTTGTCTACAGAGTTTGGCTTTCCTAATAATATGATAATGGAAAGGTAAATGGCATTTTGCTGTCAGAGTTTAATAAAATTTCCACCTTTCCAGTGTTCTCAGCTCTAGCTCTTGGCATCAAGCCTGATGGCCCAATTCAGCTGTATGCTGAACTGCCACCCATCGTGCTGGAGAGAAGAGGACCAAGGGCAAGCAGAAGGCATGGTGATGAGGTAACTGTGGATCAGTTGTTGACTGCTGAGAACACTCCCAGATCTAACTACAAATGAAATGTGAAAAGAGGCAGCCGAAATCATTAGGTGGACTAAGAGCAAATGGAAGAATTTAAGAATTCCCCAGGAGGTTACTTCTCACTGTATTCACCTAAGTGTAGATGGCTGGATCGCAAGGTTGGATGGAAAGTTTGGGTGAAGGCTAGCACCTCCAGTCCCTTGTGAACATGGCATGTGTCTGGGTCACTCTGGTCAGACGGTTCAGCTGAAGCAGTAACTGCCATGTGCTCAAAGAGAATCAGGTTGCTTACGAGCGCTGCTCCTCTCTGTATTGCAGCTGGTGTTAAGAAGAGTGAAGAATGGAAGGCTGCAAGCCATGTAAGTAAAAGCCTAATGGCCTTCTAGGATACTTCCATGAACATGGTCTCTCGTTGCTCAAGAAATATTTTTCAAATTAAGTTAGAATCTTTATTTGTCTATGTGTCAAAAGACATGCATAAGTGCAGGAAACTTTGATAGTGAAAGCTAACAACTTTTCAAAGTATGCTGTTCTTTGTATGCTGTATAAATTATTTAAAAATATGTAGGTATTTGCAACTTCTGAGAGCTTAAGCACACATGTAGGAGGCATATTTCAATGTCTTAAATATCTCATTTGAAACTTAATGGGTTACTTCAGGCAGATATTTGTTGTTATGTTTCAATATCCGAGAGGGGACGTTTCCTTTCAGCTCATTTCCCACCTGCAAATTCCCACATGATGCTTCCTGCAAGTGAGCTGCTCAGTTCAATTCTCGGAGCCTGTTCTGTTTGATTCTTTGGTGATTATTTTCCATCAAGAATCAGAGCTCTCCAAGACAAGAAAACAGCCTGTGCCTTTTTCCTACCGTGTAATGCTCTGTGCTACGTTGACGGTGCCGGTGAAGCTGGGTAGTTGGGACCGCCCGGTGCTGTGATAGAGCCAGGCGCCAGCAGATGGAGCAGGAAAACGGAGACTGGCTGAGTCAGTTGCTAGTAAGGCTATGCTAAGGGAGAGAATATGCCTAATGTTTGAAAGAAGTAGTGTGATGAAGAGTAAAGATCTATGGATCGCCATCAGCCTGACCATACAAACCTTGAAAGCAAGGGATAGAAAGACTAATGAAGTAAGAACTAAAACAACCTTAGCAAACAAGTTAAGAGTAAAGGCCTTAGTTGTAGAATATTTCTCATTTAACCTCCTCTGCCTCCTGTACATTTGATACATTGCCTCAAGGTGTTGCTTCTACACCATCCCTGAAGAAGTCCCTTTCTAGGACCATCAGGATTCTGTCTATGGAGATGCTGTTAAATGGTCTTTGTAGGTTTCCTTCCTAAAGATGCATTGCTGGTCAAACTGAAGTAACAGGCTTGATAGAGAAATTACTGGGTTGGGTTCTTTGGTCTGTGTTATGGAGAAGCTCAAGCTGAGTCACCACAACATTCTTAATTGGATTTAGAGTCTATCAAATTCCTTTTGCATTCTAGGATCTGTGTGGTTTTGAAACTTAACTGAGAGGTCATGTAGTGCTCAGAGGGAGGGAGGGGTAAAAGAAAGCAGGCCACACGCTGAATGAGCGAAAAGCGAGATTTACCAGGAACCAGATGGAAAATAAAGAAGCCTCAAATTATGTGATAGACCAAGGGAATTAAGAAGAACATGTATAACTCTTCAAGAAAAGACACTGTGCTGTGTGTTCTTGTTTGCACTGACTTAGGGTTAGCAGTATCATTTTATTGCTGGAGTGTATAGCACAAGGTGGCCTGATAGCTTCTAATGAGAAATTGAAGGGAGTGTTAAAGGTTTTATGTTCCAATAAGAAAAAAAAAGTAATGAACGTGAGAATCAAGTTCACATGATGAACCCCCTAACCAGTTTGGGAAGAATGCAACAGATTTCTGAAGGGATTTGCTGATCCTTGCTTAAATTATTCCTCATTTAAATGTAAGTGTTAGATTCTCATTTAAAGTATGTAGATAACTTCGGAATGTTAGCCTGAGAAATTACAAGGTTTACAGAAGTGGTTGAAGTCAACTTGCAGCTGAATACAGGAAAGGTTCAATTGCTTTGAACCTGGATTGATACTACCAGTCTTTAGACATAAGACCATGTTAAACCAAGAGTGTTGGTCATATGAAATTTTGGGGTCTCTTCTTAAAGGCATTAAACTTAGTTTCCAGTTATGTCAACCCTTAACTACATTGGCATCCTTAGATATGGAAGTTCTGGGTTAACTTTCTGTACCAGTGCTGGTTTCATAATCACCATTGCATCCAAATTCCTTTTAAGCTGTATTTTATATATATATATATATACATACAACATATGTATATATATATATGCACATACAACAAAGGTAACTGATTTGGATAGAATGTGTCGTATTGGAAATGCTCTTTCATGTGCAGATTGTCTTCAAATTCTTACATGCTCAGGAGCCTATGGTGAACTAAACATAGTGAATTTTCCAGGCTGTAATCCATAAAACTCTACCTATTGCTTAGCTGTGGTTTAGGCAACTCTGAACCTCTTTTTAGAGTTGAGAGTTTCTACTTGCTTAATGGTAAGGGGCTGCAATAAAGGACTGCAGGAATTGTAGTAACTATGTAAAATTTCTTAGCCTCTTATATACTGTCATGGGTTACTCAGCTTTACACTGGAGGCAACTGCAGGGGTTTCCTTATATAAACATGCAAATATATATATATAGCTCATAGATGTGTGTATATATATACATATATATCTGTGCATACACCTTTAATAGGCTCTAGTTTTTATGGCAGAATGACACTGCAAATTCCATACAGGGCAAATGTCTAAAGTAGGAGATGGAAAGTAGGCATTGTATATTAGACAGAGAATTGACATTAGAAAACTCTTCTAGAATTATGGGGAGCAGGAGAGTATTGGTTTGGTTTGGGGATTTTTTAATCATTTCACGCAGATATGTTGGAACTTTTTAATTCCTGATTCGGGATTAATCTGTAATCTATACATGCACTGTAAACTGTTCCCTGAATGCCAAGTCTTGGCAAGATTTCAAACATGGAACAAAATCCAAAGGATTCCTCTGGTATCTAAGATTCTTGAGCCTCTGACAACAATGGAAACATTATGAAATAAGTTTCTTCCATTAAATTAATTATTTTTAGTATTCATTTTAGAAGGTAAATAACCACATTGAAAGTGAAGTTCCAAACTTGCAGACCTGATTCATGGTCTGTTTGTCAAGATGTAGGATATCCTATTATGAATATTATTTCAGATCCTAGATGAGTTAAGATTGAACTTACTTTAATTCTCTTTTTCCCTAAAAGAGGAGGGAAGGAAGAGGAAACCTCATGTGTTACGGGATGTATTGCACTAGTGAAGCTGGGCCAGGGTATCAGCCTACCAGTTCTCACTTCTCTAACTTGTCTGTCCCATCAACACGCATGTGAGACGCCATGATGTGATGTATTCTGGTCCTACTGCACCTCACTTGTGCTTGTCAAATACGCAAAATCAGGAATGGGACTTGATAGAAAACATTCCTGACTAGGTGATGGCTGCAGTGTATTTCTGTGTAAAACGGCGGCATTTGGAGGAAGTTTCTGCAATTGTGATCCGTGTCACTCTCATTTCACAAGGGAACTCCAGCACTCACTCACCCAGATGTGGAGACTGAGAACGGAGTGTGCAGAGCCTGGGACATCTCGTGCTGCCAGTGGGCACTCTTTTTTTGTTTTTTTTCCTATCAGACACAGCAAAGTTTGGGGCCCTTGCTATGTCTGTCTGCCAGAAGAAAAACTACTACTTGAAAAAACGCTTTTCTTCTACTGTGTTATCATATTTGTGATTGTAAGAAGCCCTTAAGTTTTGTCTGTTTTCATTAAAAGGAAGGAGGATAACAAAGAAAATGTTCCTGTGAGGGAGCTCTTGACTTGGAATGTGTTTCCAGCATGCTGGTCTTCTAAACAAACAGCCAGGGAATATCCTCTTGCAGCTTGCTGCTGCAGTGGAGAATGACTACAAGGAACTGGACTGATAAGAGATGTGAGCTACGTAATTTTGCAGGTAGGTTACTGTAATTCATGCTGTAACTTACAATGGGATACCCTTTGGTCTGCAAACATAAGTTTCCCTATATTATGTATTTACGTCTGTGTGACTGTCTATTTGTTCTGGGAACTAAGGCAAAGTGTTAGGACTATTATAGCTAGTAGCAATATATACTCGTGTGTGGGGAAGGAGATGAGCTGTTTTAGTAAGCTGTTTTAGTAAGAGAAGCTGTGTTGTGCAGTATGTGAAGAACGTAAGTTATGTAGAATTGGTGAGCTTAAGGCTGGTCTGAGAATGGAGGAGAGATACATGAGTATTTGATACCACCGTCAATATGAGGATGACCATGGATATCTGAGGATAAAGAGTTTTTCAGTTCTACAAGGGCATGGCTTTTGGTCTGTGTTTAGTAATAGGACCTCTGGTCATGTGGAGGGCATGTGGTGAGGTGAGCCTGTGACTTAGCTTTGTGGTTGCATAGAGTAAGTTAAGATAGTAGAAAGAAATATGTTAGTACAATGAAAGAATATCTTTGTGGACTTTTTTTTTCTAATACATAAAGAAGTCCAAGAAATAGATTTTCCTCTGGCAGACAGTTGATGTGTTCTGCAACAGCTCACACGCGCGCACACACACACACACACACACACACACACGATCCTGGCATCCATGGCCAAGACTTACAACTGCTTCAACTAGAGCAGTGTTTA